CCGTATGCTGTGCTACTTTGAACACTGGGGTGCATGTGTCTTTTCACATAGCCTTTGATCTTCATTTCCCTTTGAGCTTTAAGCTACATTGGCTTTTGATTTCTCATTATATCTGAGTAATGCTTTTTTCTTTTATAAACACCCAGTTATTTAATAGTGTCTCCATTTGAGGGAGTAAGATTATGGATCTTCATTTCCTTTTTGGGTATTTATTTCCTAAATGTTCTGAAATAAATATGTATTAGCTTTATTAAAAGAAAAAATAAACTTTTTAACATAAAATATTCTTTCCTTTTACACAAAATCCTATTTTTGTTGAAACCGTGTTTAATTTCACATGGACAGTCACTTTTGCTGCATCAAGCCTAAGTGGGCTGATTTGCACAGAAAGAAATGAAAGTGAAGAAGGGGTGGGTTTGCCTGTTTCCTGTTGCCAGTGAAGGATGGCAGGAGAGACACAGATCATTTACCCCATCCGAGGGGGAGAGGCAGATGGCACGTCCGTCATCTCCTGCTCCCCACACCTCACAGGCTGCTGGAGGAACACGTGTCTGCTGAGCAGGTCTCTTGTGGTGTTTTCGCTGTGACTCACTAGAGCATAAATCTCAGCAGGATTCACAGGCTTAAGTGGAGACTGCTGTGTGTTTCGCTTAAAATATTTACTTCTCTAATTTCATATTTTCCTTAGTAGTACACCTGAGACTGATTTCAGGAAAAAGACTATTTTCATTCAACCCAAGTCACTAGAGACGTTCTTGTTAGTGTTAGGGGTACTTACATGCTTATTTGGAATAAGACACAGAAGAATGAACAGCGTGAGCTGCTTCTGTTATAGGGGACAGGATTTGGTGGCACTCATTTTCCCAACGTGTACCATGCTGTGTTGTCCTCCCTTTTACTGTGGTTCTGTGATCTTAGCAGGGAACTGCTACAGACAGGTTGTTTCACATCTGCAGAGATTCTTGGCTTTGTGATGACTTTGTACCAGGGAGGAAAAAGCAGGCATGTAAGAAAGAAAGTGGGAAGGAGAAATTTAACTGTGACACAGAGCAGGTGCAGGAGAGGTGAGGAGGACAGAGCATCTCCTTTCCCTAATAACAGAACAACTGGTGGGTGATGTA